AGAAGAAGCATTTGAGCACGATCCTTATCCTGCACAGAGAGCGCCACGTCAAGCTCCACGCAGAGGAGAGCGAGTTGAAGATGACGACTTAAGCGGTATTAAGATGGAGATTCCTAACTTCAGTGGAAGGAATGATGCAGAAATCTACCTTGAGTGGGAGCGAAAGGTGGAGATGGTATTTGATTGCCATCGATATTCTGAGCTAAAAAAGGTAAAGCTAGCAGCTGCGAGATTCAACGATTATGCGCTCTTGTGGTGGGATCAACTGGTAATATCCAGAAGACGCAATAGGGAGATGGAGCAATTTGGTCATAACTTTGCACTGCGATGTCCAAACGATGTGATTCCAGTTGGAAATGAATCCTAACTCACCAAAGGTCTGATCTGGAAAATATGAGATCCAACGGAGAAAGCTTCAATTCTGGGGAGATGACGAAATCCACGGTTCAGTCCTCAGAATACAGATTGAGCAGGTTGTCTTGTTTCATTCATAACTTTTGATTAGAGACTCCGATCGCAGTTCCGTTTGAATCATAATAAACTAGACATCCAGATCTTCACGTGGATATAAAGTACATAATATTTGGTGAGGGTTTGTCTCCTCAATCAGTCGTTTGAAAATCACGTCAATTCCAACTCCAAATCTGATGAATGAAGACTAATCTTGATTATTCTAGAATTTGTTGAATTCTAGGTGAGTCAAATTAAAATAAATAAGTGATAATTACTATTTGTAATTAATCGTAGTGTGTAGAATCTTCCTATATGTAGTATAAATAGAAGTATAAGTTATGTCATTTTTCATCAAGTTAAAAGCAAGAACAAAAAGAAAAGTTTTTTTTGAAGTGTTCTCCTCTCCACTTCCTCTCCTCTAAGTTTTTCTAAGTTCTCCATCTAAAATATTTGCCCACCTCTCAACAAAGTGGTATCAGAGCCTAGGCGATGGCGACTACAAGCGGAGCTTTCCCGATTCCAAAGCTTACGAAAGACAACTATGAAAGATGGAGTATTCAAATGAAGGCGTTCCTTGGTGGACAAGATGTATGGGATGCCATCGAAGAAGAGTATGAAGAACCGAAGAATTTGGCTTCCGCTAGCCAAGCCATGAAGAAGGCGGCCAAAGAAGCGAAAGAAGAGACCAACGGGCACTTTCGTTCATCCAACTTAGTGTGGATGATACCATCTTCGAGAAGATCGCTCATGCCACCACATCGAAGAAGGCATGGGATACTCTTGAAAATGCTTTCAAGGGTATTGACAAGGTGAAAAAGGTGCGGCTTCAATCACTTCGTGGAGAATTCGAAGCTTTGCAAATGAAGGAGTCAGAAGCAGTCTTCGACTATATCTCTCGAGTTACGGCGGTCTCCAATCAACTCGTAAGCAACGGTGAAAAGATGACAGATAGTCGAATCGTGGAGAAGATACTTCGGTCACTATCTCCGAAGTTCGATCATGTCGTTGTGGCGATTGAAGAATCTAACGACATTGAGAAAATGACCGTTGATGAACTCACCGGAAAGCTTCAAGTTCATGAAGAAAAAATTAAAAGGAGACACAAAGAGCCGATCGAGCATGCTCTTCAAGCAAAGGTGAATATTGAAGAGAAGAAAAATGATTATCGGAACCAAGGTGGACGTGGTCGTGGTGAAGGACGGGGGGATGAGTGAATCCAAGAGTGATACACCAAAAGATCGAGAGTTCTTGAGTGAAACCCAGAAAAAGGCCTATGAGAGCAATCCCGAGAGCTCAAATACACTACTTCTTTCGAGAGGGAGAGATATCAAGAAAGCATTGCTTTCTAGTCGACCGATGATTGTACTAGAAAGAGCCCATTTAGAGCAGCTTGTAGCTTCTTCGTTTTTGATCTCGTCATGGGTCCATCCGGAAAACTGATGTGATCCACGTTGCTTCCATTTTGTTCCGTCGTGCTTCCAATGTCCTCATCACATATTAAGAGTGCATACAAACATGATTAGAGTGCATTAAAACAATTTTAGAGTGCGTCAAAACATATTTAGAGTGCGTGAAATATGTTTAGAGTTCAGCTAAACATGTTTTGAGGCATGGCAAGCTCAGCAACTTCTCTCTCCTTGCCAAGTGCATCTGAAGCTCCTTCTTGTGTTTCATCCGTATTCAGCTGCTCCTCATCCGCATCTAGATCGATGACCTCACCACTCTTTGATGCAATGGTTCTATCTCAGCCCTCAACATCCTTCGTAACTCACCCATTAGTGCTTGCATTTGAAGTGGGTTTGCTCCTTCAGGTTGCTGCTCATTTTGTGTGTCATCCATGTTGAAACTCTGCAAAAAAATGTTAAGAAACAAAAAGATAAGTTGGGATTATATGAGTGGTTAGTCATGCCATTTGGACTTAGTAATGCACCTAGTACCTTTATGCGCTTGATGAACCATATGAGTCGACTGAGCAACATGCTATTGGTAGTTATTTTCGACATGATGGGTTCTTGTTTAGGGGGAACAAGCTTTGCATTCCTCACTGTTCATTACGTGATTTGCTTGTTCATGAGTCTCATAGTGGAGGACTAATGGGACACTTTGGAGTGGCCAAGACGTTGTCTATGTTGCAGGAACATTTTTACTGGCCACACATGAAGAGAGACGTAGAGCGAACTTGTGGGAGATGCGTTACATGCAAGAGGGCTAAGTCTAAGCTTCAGCCTCACGGTTTGTATTCTCCCCTCCCTATTCCTAGCGAGCCTTGGATAGATATTTCTATGGATTTTGTGGTAGGTTTGCCTAGGACTCGTTCGGGAAAAGATTCGATATTTGTGGTTGTGGATAGGTTTTCAAAGATGGCACACTTTATTCCTTGTCATAAGATTGATGATGCCTCATATATAGCATCACTGTTCTTTAGGGAGGTGGTGAGATTGCATGGGATCCCTAGGACCATAGTTTCTGATAGAGATGCTAAGTTTCTTAGTTATTTTTGGAAGACGTTGTGGTCAAAATTGGGAACTAAGCTGTTGTTTTCTACAACTTGTCACCCACAGACTGATGGCCAGACTGAGGTAGTTAATAGAACACTATCCACGTTGCTTAGAGCATTGATCAGCAAGAATCTTAAAACGTGGGAGGACTCTTTACCTCATGTTGAGTTTGCATATAATCGATCTGTGCATAGTGGTACTCGTTATTCTCCGTTTGAAATCGTGTATGGATTTAATCCGACGACTCCATTGGATTTAAGTCCATTACCTATGTCTGAACAAACTAACCTTGATGGTAAGAAAAAGGCCGAGTTTGTGAAGCAGATACATGAGAAGGCGAGGAAGAACATCGAGAGACGGACCGAACAATACATCAAGCAAGCCAACAAGGGGCGTAGAGAGGTCATATTCAAACCTGGCGACTTGGTGTGGGTTCACATGCGGAAGGAGCGGTTCCCTAGTCAAAGGAAGTCGAAACTCATGCCGAGAGGCGAAGGACCTTTCCGGGTTCTTGAACGGATTAACAACAATGCCTACAAGATTGAACTTCCAGGTGAGTATGGCATTAGTCCTACTTTTAATGTGGCTGATCTATCTCCTTTTGATGCAGATGACGAATATGATTTGAGGGCAAATCCTTTTGAAGAGGAAGGGAATGATGAGGACATCACTAGGACACAGGACCGACCACATTCAAATGTCCAAAAGGAACTTCAAGTGCAGGGGCCATTGACTCGAGCTAGGGTGAAGAAACTGCAAGCGGCTTTCGTGCGTATGATTCAAGAGGAGTTCAGAAATGGGCTAATAAAACATATCAGTGGCCCAAACATCACTCCAAGTCCAACCAACAACAAAGGCCCAACTTTCAAGCCCATGAACTTAATAAGGCTTCTTGAAAGCCCAAAAGAGGAGATGATGTAAGCGTGACACCGAAATGACTCAACATCCACCAACTTACCAAAGTCAAAAGTGGAGGCAATCAATGGTCAAAAGCTTCAATCAAGAGTCAAAAGTTTCAATCAAGAGTCAAAAGCTTCAATCAAAATCCTCTTTGTTCAAATTTATCATGATTATGTTTTTTTTCTTTATTCAAATTTCTCATTATTATGTTCCCTTTTGTAAGCCTATATAAGGCACCCAAATTCTCATTTGTAAGACCTTATCTTTTAATCAAATTTGAGAGTTTTCTCCTTGAAGTTCCTTTGAGAACTACATCTCGAACTCCAATCGAATTCATTGGTGTTCTTCGGCTTATCAAGCATTAATCCGCAAGAGCTTGTGGCGCCTTCGCTGTTGGCTAGAGTTCCTAAGTCGGGTTTGACAAGGGTTAGAGACGGCCTATTCCAGGTTTGGGTTCTAGTTTTTGTTACAAGTTACTTAGGGGTTTTAGAACAAAACCCACCGCCTAGTTTATCATATAAGAACTTGGATCCGGGTGCGTATCATTTTGAGTGCAACAAAAGATGTTTAGAGTTCGTCGAAACATGTTTAGAGCATGTCAAAACATATTCAGAGCGCATCCAAACATGTTTAAAGTGCGTCGAAACATGTTTAGAGTGCATCCAAACATGTTTAGAGTGCGTCCAAACAGGTTTAGAGGGTATTAAAACATTCTTAGAGTGCGTCGAAACATATTTAGAGTACGTCGAAACATGTTTAGAGTTTGTCCAAACATTTTTAGAGTGCGTCGAAACACGTTTAGAGTGCGTCCAAAAACATTTAGAATGCATCCAAACATCTTTAGAATGCCTCAAAACATAGAGTGCATCCAAACATTTTTAGAGTGCGTCCAAACACATTTAAAGTGCATCCAAACATGTTTAGAGTGCCTCAAAACATACTTAGAGTGCATCCAAACATGCTTAGAGAGCATCCAAACATTTTTAGAGTGCATCGAAAAATGTTTAGAGTGCTTCCAAACATACTTAGAATGCATCCAAACGCACTTAGAGTGCATTCAAACACGTTTAGAGTGCATCCAAACGTACTTAGAGTGCATCCAAACACACTTAGAGTGCGTCCAAACACGTTTAGAGTGCGTCCAAACACTTTTAGAGTGCATCCAAACATGTTTAGATTGCATCAAAACATTTTTAGAGTGCGTCGAAACATGTATAGAGTGCGTTGAATCATGTTTCGAGTGAAAAAAAAATGTTTAGAGTTCGTCGAAACATATTTAGAGCACGTCAAAACATATTCAGAGCGCATCCAAACATGTCTAAAGTGCGTCGAAACATGTTTAGAGTGCATCCAAACATGTTTAGAGTGCGTTCAAACAGGTTTAGAGTGCATTAAAACATTCTTAGAGTGCGTCGAAACAAATTTAGAGTACGTCGAAACATGTTTAGAGTTTGTCTAAACATTTTTAGAGTGCGTTGAAACACGTTTAGAGTGCGTCCAAAAACATTTAGAATGCATCCAAACATCTTTAGAGTGCCTCAAAACATACTTAGAGTGCATCCAAACATTTTTAGAGTGCGTCCAAACACATTTAGAGTGCATCCAAACATGTTTAGAGTGCCTCAAAACATACTTAGAGTGCATCCAAACATGCTTAGACAGCATCCAAACATTTTTAGAACTCATCGAAAAATGTTTAGAGCGCTTCCAAACATACTTAGAATGCATCCAAACACACTTAGAGTGCGTCCAAACATGTTTTGAGTGCATCGAAATATGTTTAAAGTGCATTAAAATACACTTATAGTGCATCTAAACACGTTTAGAGTGCGTCCAAACACTTTTAGAGTGCATCCAAACATGTTTAGAGTGCATCGAAATATTTTTACAGTGCGTCGAAACATGTTTAGAGTGCGTTTAAACATGTTTTGAGTGCAACAAAAGATGTTTAGAGTTTGTCGAAACATGTTTAGAGCACGTCAAAACATATTCAGAGCGCATCCAAATATGTTTAACGTGTGTCGAAACATGTTTAGAGTGCGTGCAAACATGTTTAGAGTGCATTAAAATATTTTTAGAGTGCGTCGAAACATATTTAGAGTACGTCGAAACATGTTTAGAGTTCGTCTAAACATGTTTTGAGTGCACCGAAATACGTTTAGAGTGCATCCAAAAACATTTAGAATGCATCCAAACATGTTTAGAGTGCGTCAAAACATACTTAGAGTGCATCCAAACATGTTTAGAGCGCATCCAAACATTTTTAGAGTGCGTCGAAACATGTTTAGAGTGCATCCAAACATACTTAGAGTGCATCCAAACACACTTAGAGTGCGTCCAAACACGTTTAGAGTGCATTCAAACACTTTTAGAGTACATCCAAACCTGTTTAGAGTGCATCGAAACATTTTTAGAGTGCGTCGAAACATGTTTAGAGTGCGTTGAAACATGTTTTGAGTGCAACAAAAGATGTTTAGAGTTCGTCGAAACATGTTTAGAGCATGTCAAAACATATTCAACGCGAATCCAAACATGTTTAAAGTGCGTCGAAACATATTAAGAGTGCATACAAACATGATTAGAGTGCATTAAAACAATTTTAGAGTGCGTCAAAACATATTTCGAGTGCGTCGAAACATGTTTAGAGTTCGTGTAAACATGTTTTGAGGCAATAAAACATGTTTAGAGTGCATCAAAACATGTTTAGAGTGCGTCAAAACATGTTTAGAGTGTGTCGAAACATGTTTAGAGTGCATCGAACAATGTTTAAAGTGCATTAAAATAGACTTAGAGTGCATCCAAATACCTTTAGAGTG